TTTTTTTTTTGGCAAATTGCTCCTCCCAAAAGTACCAGGATGTGACGTATACACGATGACCTGCATGAAAATAGTCTTTGTTGTAAATAAATTATTCAATAAATCTAGTTGCATTACCATATATGGTCATGAAATGAAGCATCATTTTATTAAACTATTTGTTATCGTATATACTAGTAATTAACTTTCATCATAATAAATATTGACATTGAATTTGAAAAATAACTTGATTAATGTTGTTTAAAAACAAACTTTTACAATCGAGTAGGATAAACTGCTGTTAAAATATAAATTTTGAATGTACAGGGAAGTTGAAATAAGTATACTCCAAACCATTTGTCTCAGTGTTATCACTATCGCCCACACAAGACTCCAGTTTGATTCCTATACCATTTGTTTTTCACCAGCAATTTTAATAGGCATATGACCTTTGCACCTACCTCGATAGCTAATCACATTTGAGTGTGGACATCACTTGTGGCATACAACTGAATCAGGCAAAATATTGTAAGTACCTTTGCACTGACTCAGTTGGCTAGTCTTGGCCCTCCATATGAACAGCTGGTGGCTCTTTCCTATTTGATGACAATAATTTGGTTCTAAGTTTCTGAGTATATACCTTTTCGGGTATAACCCTATTATTGCAATCCTCATAATCTTTCGCATTTGGTTTTAACACCATATTGTTCATTTTTACCCCAGCGGGTTGCCAAACTTTGAACTTTTCACCTGCCCCATCACTAGAAAGACATTTCTGGCTCAGTTCTTGGTTTTTCTGACGTAAAGCGGCAATTTCATTTGACATTTTTTCCACTCCATATGCTTTAACCTTTTCCCAAAATGTTCTGTTAAAATGATCATACAACTTTACATCTCCGGAATTCCACTCTTGGATCTTTGTTGCGACATCTGGTCCAATTTTGTGCACAGACTTGGGCTCCCTTGCATTGAGTTGGAAAAACGTGAAATCGTCAATATCCCAACACAGAAGATCTCGGAGAAGAATAAGAGACTCCTCCAAGTACTCCATTATCATAACCAGTGAGAATCTTTTGTTGATAAATTTAATTGTTTCCTCCACTAATGTCAGGTTATCAAATGACGTCTCGTTCATACCTAAATCAAACAGCATTCGATTACGCTCAGTTTTTTTATAGCAAAAATTTGGATGATTAAAAAATTTATCCAACGCACTGGAGTCTGAATTTTTAATTCCACACTTTTCACCTATTCTGAAATATGTAAAATAGCTTTCGTAATGTGTGACTGGGTCCCGAATAATTGTTATATAGGTTGTACTAGGTGGCATCAGTCTCGTAATTTCCTCGTCATTGTATCGTGCATGCTGACACAGGATGTTGTAAATTCCATCATGTGACTCGAGAATGAACTTTCGATGAAAAAAGTTTGGCCAACCTAGCGATATCTTCTGTGGAGGTAACACAAACGTAAGATCGCGAGCATCGCCATATCGGAAAAGAATGTTCTGTATTGTTGTACTGCCAGTTTTGTGTATCTTAACAAAAGTGATATTTTCTATCGGTTGATGACAAATACTTTGATTCTGCGACTCTTGTAATTTTACTGACTCATTGATATTACCATGGTAACCAATTATCTGATTTTCAGTAATTTTAGCTTGACCATTGTAATATATCATATGTTGCTCTCTGGAGAGAAAAAAAACAAAAATATAGGAATTTAATAAATACACAATATACAACTAT